GAGAACTCTGGGTCACCGAGGGGCACGTTTTGCGCTGCTTTGTCCTTTCGACTCCTCTCAGCCTCCCTCAACCACTTTCCTTTCTACTTCTCTTCGTCGTCGTTGGACGGTTTCGCTCTTTCCCCGTCTTTCCGTCTCGCTTCACCTTCTCAGCTCCTACTCCACAAATTTACAATGCCCTCGCTTGTAATAAGCGGTTGCGCGCTTTGTTCACGATTATGAGTTCACTTTGGGCACCGAGGGGACTTATCGAGGTAAGGATCCTCTGAGTGTAGAACAGAAAAATATTTACTCTTTTGAAATGATATTCCAAAATGGTAATGAAATTTTATCGTTCAGGATTTTTATCGGCTTAGGGAAGATGAACAGAATGATTTCAGTGAAAAAACAGCGACATGTTTGTTCAAATACAGGTGGAAATTGGACAAGATCGCCATTCTGTCGATGATTAATATTTCCTATGTATACGTACGCATTCACTTAAAAAAAATTATTAATACTTAATTCACTATTTTTTTAACAAATCTGTACTTGTTTCGAAAAACCTCAAATCATTCACACTAGGTTAATAGTATTTGATATCTTTTTCATCATCCTGCGTCGTTCTGACTGAACAGCAAATCGGACAAGATTCTAAATTTAAATTTGACCACAACCTTATTGAAAGTAGATTTAATAAGAGGATTCATTTTAATTTTTTGATAAAACGCAGTAATTATCGAATGATAAAGTATGAATTTTTTCTTTCAATATAAAGTGAAAATATTCTCAAATTCATTTCCCAGTTCAAAAATTATATTTGAACCCTGAAATCTTATCTGTTAAGATTTTCATTTTTTTGAGCGTGAAAAATTAAAAATTAAAAATTAGATGGATGGAAAAACGATGCTAGGGCAACTGGAGCCCCAATATCTTGGCTGATTATTGCTACAGCCTCAAGAGGGATGTATCAAACGCATGACTTCTTTTTAGATAACCATATTTCATTTTTACTATAACACCAATGTCTACAGAATGCATCACATCATGGTAAATAATTTAAAAAATTAACTGCGACTAAAGTATGGGAAATACATGAATTTAATCCGTATCCGCTCCCCATGTTACTAAAGAGAAATTTCATCATAAAAATATGGATTGTCAACAAACAATGGATATACATAATTGCACCCTGATTGCTGTAATGCAATTAATATTAGGTAAGAATGTTTTATAATTCAGAATACAGATGTTTTAGATAATTGCGTGCACATAATGTTAAAATCTAATGTGCATTCATACCTAAAAGAATCATTTAAAAAATATTCATAACATAAAAAATACATTTTTATAACATTTACTAATTTTGTATGTAGCAAACGCCTAGCCAGTCGCAAAAAAATAATTATCATATATTACATGTAGTACATTAATAACATAGCACTTACTATAAATTTCTTCTAATTATCTAATATGAATTGAGTTTCTGAATATGACTATAAACAGACAAGATAAAAACTTTCACTTTATCTATAAAATATACAGAGAGTCCCATGTTTTAATAGCCAACCTTTATCAATATATTGTATGGGTCTAAATAAAAGAAAAATGTTATATAAATATAGGTCGTTAAAAATTTTATTAAAAAGTCATGAAAAAAATACGAAATACTAAGGAGACCGGATGTTTTAATCGTACCTTTTGTACTATGCCATAAAACGATTCATAACAAATGAATTTGTTCTTGACAAAAGGTTGAAGATCTAATAATAATGGATGTCATAAACATCAAGCTACAGTGACCAATATTAACTCGTGTACAAATTAGTGCCAAATAGGAAATATAACGTAAAATATCATAAGTGGTAAAATACAAGCGCCTCTTGCATTGGCATTTTATCATTACAGATTCATGATAATGAAAATATGACTGTAGCTCATACAATAATACACACGAAATTGACTGGATATCAACATGTTAACTATAGTAACGTACTTTAATACAATCGAATGATATAATCATTATCGAGTAAATATGATTCATTCGATTCGCGTTGTTTTGCACGTAAAGAGGTTTCGACTGGATTACGAATTTTGATTTTAGGACGTGACCGCAATTAGTCAGTTACGAATAAGAAATCACAGTTCAAGGATCTTACATTTGTATGAGTGTACAAGAACATAATGAACAAAGTAAGATATGTGTACATCATCATCTTTCTATAAAAAGGATGATACAAGGAGATCCTGCATATGTGTGACGTTTCTGAATACACACTCGGATGGAAGATTAGGCATTCGAATCAGTGGAATGTGCCGTGAGACAGTGGCATGCCGTGCTTTGTAAAGGAACGCACATGCACCACATGCTGAAGCTTTAAATGAGAGAAACAATCCAAACAAGTCGCAGATATGTCAGACCTTACACGTCTCGCCACAGTTACAATGAAAAATAAAGTTACTCTTCTATATTTTGGAGAATGAATTAATTAAGAAATAATGCAATTGGAACTGAAAGTATTCACTCCTTGTCGTAAATGTCAAACCATACTCCTGTAAAATAAAAACTAATTTGTCTTATGAATATGTACTTAATTCATCAAGTTTGTATATAAATAAATTTGTCATTTTTATAAATCCTCGTGGCACTGTTCAGTAAACTCTGGCAACACTATTCCTTGAATTAAATTGGGCCTAAATTAAAATCGAATTAAGACATAAATATATTTGCCTATCGCTATATTTTACAATATATATAAACTAGTAGTAGTAAATTAATTTACAATTTCAATACAAGGTCAAATCGACCCAAACTATGTACGGGGATTAAATGATGACGTCTTCTTTCATTTACACAGCTAGAATATATTATTCGATATTTTGAAAATTACTGAAGAAATTCTTAAACACTGGTCTTACCCATGACTACAGATACATATACCTATTATTTCATTTGATAAAATAGGAGCAAAGTTTCATGCTTCATATTATTTCATATAGTTTTTATTTTGACTGTTCACGAGTAAATGAGCAGAAAGATCTAGAACAACATAAAAATCTTGGTTTCTTTTAAGTGATTGCAATAACTAGAGCAAAAAGTAAAAAGAGGAGAACAGCAAACGACTGTTGATGAAGGACGTTCTCCAGATTATCGATCGATTCTTTCATCAGAAAGAAACATTAATAATAATTTGCGTATACATACATATATAGAGGCCAATGTTTATAAAAAGAAGAATTATTTATTTAAAGAGGAGAAGTACTTATCTTTGACATGTCTTTCTTGTTCTACGGTCGTACGACGACCTCTACTTTGTCCCTGTTTGGGCGTCGTTACCAAAAGGACGTCGCTAACCTGAAGTCTCTCGCTTTAACATTATACAATACGTGCTACCTATTGGGTAACACGTAACAATATGATTTCTTCCATAGAAGAAAGGGAGAGCTTGATACCATTATTGTATATCGTTTTACTAAAATTTAAAGAAAATAATTAAATTTCAAATGATAGTAAGTACATTTTTACGTATGTCACAATTGCACAGTAATAGTAAAGGCACACGAAATCCTAAGGAGGGGGAGTCGCAATGTCAGTGGCGGTGAAAAATTTGCCAATTAAAAAAAATCTCATTTCTCCCAGTAACGAGGGGCGGCGTGCAATTAACGTCAGCAACGAAAATGATTTATGGGGTGAGTAGAGGAGGGTGTGAGTCGTGGGCGAGAGGCTAGCTTATCATAAATTAATGAATTATCAGTTCGCACTGCGTGGTATGAGGATATGAGGGAGGAAGTAGAACAGTGCGTCGATGCGGTATTTAAACTATTGATCAGTGAACTACGGTAGTCTAGAAATTTTTTTCACAACACAGATATTTTATAAAAACGCGATAATAACTTTTTATAACGCAAAGTCTTTGAATTTAAAAAACATAACATTCACTTTCTTTTTTTAATATAAAATCGATCAAGAAGTGTATCATACATTCTGAAAGTACAAAACGTCTAAGTAATTCTGTTTACATTCCTGAAAGGTCTATCAATATGTGACAATTGTCAACAATGAAAACATTAAGAATAAAATAAATACAGTAATATAAGATTTCACGAATCATCTCTTTGTCTTTTAATCCGTTATTCGCGAGCTTTACGTTACATTTTAATAAACTTTACTAAATATTTATTACTTTTGCTATTATAACTTTTACTAAATATTTTTCGTGTATTTTATTCTTATTTTATCCTGCTACATAACGTTTCTTAAAAATTACTTTCAAGTGCTTATAGTATACTATAAACGTATATTAGGTTTTAATTTAATAGTCTCTTCAAAATTTCTATTTACTGAATGCAAATTATTTTTCGCGTTCATACTCCAACCAGTTCATTCCAATTCCGTAAGAGGTAAGTATGAACATTTATAATAATTAATCGATGAAAGTAGCTATGTCCGTAAGAAGTGAATTGATTTATACTAATTGCAAAATTTAAATGTTTAAGCTTGAACTGAATCAAAGTTTAATTGTATACATTTCTTACAAATGTTCAAACCACATGAATTTATTATGTATCACTTTTCATCGTTTATTACATCGAAATATGTTCAAGAATTAAAGGCATTCTTCATTTAACGTAATATTTGTTTATTTATATAATATATGTATTTTATCTGAAGTTAATCTTTTGCAAACCGAAACCCAATAATATTAAAGATCTTTATTGTTAGTGGCCAAGAATAATAATTAAAGGATGCGAAAGATTGCGACTCATTTAAATTGGACTATATACGAAAAAGATCGATACAAAAATTCGATTTGTATCAACGTCCTCCCAGAAAGAGAAGTTCGAAACGTTACAGGACATTCCTACATAGTCGACCGTGACAGCCCGCGGGAAACGCGCTTCGGGCATCAGCCTCCAGACGTCGCCACCGTTACCAACATGGCCACGTGCTAGATGTGTTTACGTGAACTGCGTCATCATTTCGTATTTTTTTTGCTCATATTCCAAAGTGTTGGCCGCAAGATTACGGTGCGGAGTTTCATCACATGCGTGCGCGGTGACTGACAGTCATTAACGTGTTCCTCGTGGGCATGGCGGGTGCGGATGCGCCTATCCCGATGTGCACCTGCAACGACAGGAATGTGGTTACCTGTTCCGCTGTCAAGCAGGATGCACCCACGAGTAGAGTCATGAGGAGTTATCAACCCCACGGGAGCCTTGCCAGAATGCTGTACGACAAGCAACGGGCGGACGAGCAGCTCGAGGCCTACGACAAGAGCCAGGCAAGTGTAGCGTAACTAGGTTACGTTCCTCGTCCGTTCGTCATCTCGGTGCCTGAACCCGCGCGTACCCGTTCTTTGCATTGCCGCCTGAAATCACGTTAATGGTCTCGGGACCTGTAGATATAGTAGAGCGCGTCAATGAAACGTCACGATCGCACAGATTTCTTTTTTTTTTTGGTCTCCCAAAGTATTACATATCTATAGCGAAAACAGTTAAAGAGGTCTATCACAACAAAACCGTTTTTTGGTAAATTGATTTTTTAACCATAAAAGAAATGATTGCAAGCAATCAGTGTGCATCAGCAAGCTCCTTCCAAACCCGAGAATGCTACATGAAAAAGTAGAGTTGTTTCACGGAACAGATAAGATAATACCACTTTGAATGCAACTGGTCTATACGTTATCTTTAAATTTTGATTACGTACCACAACTGGCGTCAACTTTTATTGTATTTAATTATGGCGTTCCGAAAGAACGATTCCTTTCCGAGAATCGGCTCTTTCAAATCTGGAACTCGGAACCTCTAAGTGCCGCACGGGCCAGAGTAATTAGGATGCCGGGGGAGGAAACGGTTAGGGAGGGAGGGGTCAGTAATAATTAGTACAATTACCGCACAAGGCCAACCGCTGACTAAAACCGCTTTCCTCGAACGATGTTACTCGAGAGTCAAGACCGTGCTCGGTAATTACGGGACAATTACGTCCTCGATATTCCTGAAACATCTTCGATGCCGTTCCAAGCTCTGCCCTCATCTTACGTGGCTCTATACGTAAACCGCAGGCTGGTCCTATTTATAATTACAACCTCTGTAGGCTTTCAATTTCACTTTTACGAAATCACCAAATTGTTTGACAACAAAGTATTTGTGTAGGTATGATAGATTATATCGGGCTCGTGAAACTTGAACGATTTTCGGAGAGCTCGTTACTCGAGTTAAAACGATTCTACCATTAAGACGTTGATTACCAAACAGACAAATATAAAAATTCTAAAAGGTCAAAGCAATTATTTGAAAACTATCACTGTGGCTACTCATTTAACCTGCTTGAACCGCACAGGACCTTGTAAAAATTTGTTTTATTCAATATTTTAGTATAAAGTTTGGATTTCAGTTCTAAACTAAGTAGTGCGTGACATATGTCAGTCAGAGTGTTGTTAATATTAGATCAAGTCACGAGCAATTTCAATTCTTCTGTATAATTTTATTACTTGTTTTATAAACAGAATTTTTTATCGCAGACAATAATTATATCCATCATTATAAGTAGAGATAACCAGTAATACACAGACACGTGCGAGCCAAACACTCCTGAGCGTCATTAATATTCGACATTGATTTAATTGAAAATATTATTATGCACTTTTTTTATTCATTTCTATACGTGGAATAACCGTCTTGTCTATCATACCACCAATCAGATAGTACATCCCGCACATCTGATATCGACACAGTAAAGCATTATCCTGCGATCTCTCTGTCACGACACACATAAACAATACTTAATGTTCCATCGCATAACTGGGCCTAAGTCAAATACAGTATGACGCGCAGGGGTGTAAGTGGTGGGGAGGTAAAATCCATTCGCGGCCGAGGCTGACTAGCGGAAGAAAGAAGCTTTTATCGGTGTTTGCAAGAACCTTTTGCCACGACAGAGAGCAAATCGATTCGGAAGGCTGGCTGAGCCGCGTACTCGAGCAGGTGCCCGCAGGAAAAGAGAAGAATCCCATTCGGTCGCGTGAAACGAGAAATTTGAAATTCGTGAAGAGGGACGTCCCCGCGAGATTTCATGGGCCCCTCCGCCCCTAGCTCCCTGCAACCGAAATCGACGCTAGATGTTACTTCTTCTCCCCTTCCCCCACTACCATCGCACGTCGACGGCGCGGTACGTTTCTGGGGCTGCCAACATCTAATATCCCTGAGCAGCCTGGAAACTTTACTCTCAGACGGAGTGGCGTGAATACGTCGACCCGGTGGTGTTTTAAGGTTTTTAAAAGGCTGGTGTAGTGGCGGTGTCTTCGAACGGGAGAGAGACAACAACAGAATAGGGAGGGAAGACAGTCATGGAGGGCGCTGCTTTAAAATATTAAGTGACTGATGGATGAGACTCCTGAGAGGAAGAGAGACGCTGTTAGACGACAAAGACATCTACCACCGAGACGTTCGCATCTTCTTCTAGCGAACCCCCCCCCCCCTCAGGTTTTGCTCCACCGTGTGTCCCCATTTCTAAGGAATTTTAACGTCACGCTGTGGCAGCCAGCATTGTTGTAACCGATCTTCCCGCTTCTACAACTCGACGACGAGTCTGCGTGAGCGTAAACCTTGCGAAATCCGTGCAACGACGCGTATCCCATTCGGACTAGCAATAATAATAGCAACACTGACGATAATAATGTTTAGTACCTCTGAGACGGGGGCTTAAAGGAACGCCGCTCCAATTGCGGCCAACTTCAGCGGACAATGATGATCGGCGTTAATGGAGAAAATGGATAAAATTTTATAGCAAGGTTCGAGTATTTCATGGTATCGCTCTTGTCTGGTTTGACGAGATTAGTAAGAAAAATAAAAATAAAACAAATGGCCTGCAATTCGTGGGAGGCTAGTAGAGGTTTTTAAACCACGTTTAACATAATCAAACATTTGCAACGTTGTAATTTCTATTGGTAGTTTTAAAAGATGCGTACATAGAGATGAGACAAACTCCAGTGCAAACTGAAAATTAGTTATTAAAAGTAAAACACTATTCCTTTCAGGGGATTTCGTGCTTTAGAAACATAAAGTCAATTTCTACGATGTTCTTCGAATAGAACAAATCAATTGAAATCGTAAAATAAGCTTCTCATTCTTTAGAATATTTTAACATAAACGAGTACATACGTTTAACCGTAAATGGGCATATGCATTTTATGAAATTGTATTTTTAGATAAGTTTCACGGCTATTAATACGCGTAGCTTTTACGTAAAGGTAGAAAGTGTCATTCGAGACTTATTGAAATTTTCACGAGAATGATTTCGAAAACGGAGTTTGGCTGGTGGCTTACGAAAACTCCGACTCGTCAAAAACTTCAATCTGCCTGTTACATAATGAAAGAGAAAGATGTCCTCGGTTCGCGATTTCTAGAATTTAGATCTCTATTGAAACTTGCTGCAAGATAAATCTCTCGCTACGATAAATACACGCTGCTTTGAGTGCCGAGTGGACGAGCAACAAGCACGTGACACGCATGGTTGAGAGCAAATGACAATGTAAATAATATTGAGGCCCGATATCCATTATATCGCGGGCAACGAATGTGAATGGAAAGGAAATATAGAGAGAGAAAGAGAGACCCGTATCGGTCGCGGGACGAGCAAAGCGGAATTTTCTAAGGAAAGAGACGGCGGTTAATACGCCTTGCGTTTATTGCCCGGTAACGAAATCTCGGATTTTTCACGGTACTTTTTCGGTTGAAATCGCGAAGGCAGAGTCTAGTCTGATCCACCACAAATCCGGATGACCGGCCAAGCATCTCTGTTCGTTAATTCATGACTTGCGGGCGCAACGGTTTCGTCGAAAAAACCGATTTCTGAACCGTACGCATCTGCTCGGCCCTCGAATGGTCGTACAGTCTGTACCACAAACATAGACATAGAAATATAATATGTCCCAAAATAGCTTCGACTCCCGGAAATGAGGGGTTCCTGCGATGATTTGAAATAACTTTTTCCTTAGCAAAAATGTTATTCGAGGCTTTGTTAATGAGATATTAACGAAAATCGCCGACCGATCAGAGCGCGAATCTGCCGGACGAGCTCCCGCGGTAGCGTTGGCTACGCACTGCGATTGTTTTTTTTTCTTTAATATCTCGTTAACGAAGCCTCGGATAACATTTTTGCTAAGAAAAAAGTTGTTTCAAATCATCCCAGGAACTCCGCATTTCTAGGAGTCGAAGGTATTTGGGGACACCTTATATAGACTATACGTCAGGCTGGGCCAACGTCCTAACTTTAGAAAGAGGTGGGTTACTTTCGCAGGACTTATCTCTTTCTAATATAGCTGAGTCAACCATTCAAAACGAAGATTCCGAGAACCTTACCCCCCACTACTTCGATTTAAAAGGAGATGCCAAGTCCTGCGAAAGCTACCTACCTCTTTCTAACCCAGACCCCCATTTCAGGGAGATGCGCAGTCTATATTTCTATGTCTATGACCACAAGAGCATGGACGCCATACCCCGAAAGTTTATACCCAATGAAGCGCAGACTGTGATAAGCTAAACATACGCATTTGTTTGGAGTCTTAGTTTCGTTCGGGACACTGAAAAACACAGACGGTCTTCTAATTTACACCAGGGAAGATAAATAGATCCTTCAACTTTAAAAAAAAAACCGAATCTTTCGCTGTGTAAAGGGCAAGCTCTTTTGGCAAAAAAGAATGTAAATATCAGTATAATGGCATTAAAACATCGATTGAAAGGAAACATCGCATGGCATAGTACAATATCGAAACTTCTGCTTTCAAGAAAGTATGTGAAAACTGAGCTGGCCTATGCTCATGAATATATCGATCGTGATAACAGTGATGTAATTTTCAATCCCCGGATGCAAATCCAATAGGGAACGTTTGGGTCATTATGAAGAATAAACATGGAAGAAATCTAATGTTGAAAGTTCTCTTGCATCGAATTCGGAAAATATGGATGTCTCCACCTGTCTCGTACGCCGAAAAGTTGGTTGAAAGTATGCCGAGCAGTTACCAAGATACAATCGCTAATGTAAGAGATTGGACCCACTACTTAAGTAAGTGCATATTAGATTTTTAAACTACTTTCCAACATATGAAGCTGTTCACGAAAAGTAATCATTTTTGTGGAGATAACGCGTTTACGCTCTTGTGGTACAAACTTTAATTTATGTCTTTATTCGTACGCAGAATACCGGTTCCGGTGAACAACACGATCCCCGGGTGGATTCTTCAGCCACGTACGCGATACTCGCTTTGTCGCTGAAGTTCTTGCGCGC